GCCCTCGGGGGCAATGGCCCCGAGGACGAAGCTGGAACGGGTGCTGCAGGAGGCGCGTGCAGATATTGACAAGCTCAAGAAGCAGCACAAGCAGGAGTCGACGGCCACGGGCAGCAATGCAGCCGTGGACATGCAGGTTGACGGTCCCCATGAAGGTGGTTCGCCCGAGGAGGAGCATCTGGCTGAGAAGGTCAAGCTCCTCGAGCAGAACCTGGCCATCGCGAAGACGGGGGTTGGCTCGTGGGCGGAGGAGCAGCGGCGCGTTGGATGAGCAGCTTGCCGAGGCGAAGCAAAAGTTGCTCAATTCCCAGCCGCTCCACAAGCAGGTGCACGCGTTGGCCAATCGGGTCAAGACGGGTGCGGCGAAGATCGAAAAGGCTAAGTCGGCGCAGATTCGTGTTGTTGCGCTGGTGGAGCAGGCGCAGAACGTATTTTCAGACGCCAACGCCCTGGTCGAGCAGCTGCAGCAGCAGCAGGTCGAGCTGGAGGGAGAGTTGGGCACGCTGCAGAAGCAGCTCGGCAGGTCCGTCGAGACGGCGGAAGGATATGAGGTCACGCTGCCGTCCCTCGGCGTCTCCACCTCCGAACTTGAGGCCGTCGTCACGAAGCTCACCGAGGGCGGCGGGCTCAATTCTGATGCGCAGAAGAGGCTCGCCGAAGGGCTCGGAGGGCAAATCAACGAGCTCACCGTCGCCAGGGAGCCCAGGATTGCTGCAGCGTGTGGGCGCGTTCCGCTTGCTGGTGAGCATGCTTGTGGTGAAGGGCGTGATGAGGATGGTGCATCTGTGTCCAAATCGGAGTGGGGGCCAGACGGCATCCCCGCTGAGGAGTTGCAGAAGCTTATGCAGCCTTTCGGCAAGTTAACAGTGGCGGAGGAACTGCGTGAGTGGGCTCGGCGCATGGCGCGGGGTGGATTCATGCCGTTCTAAGATCATGGTGATGGTTGCTCTCAACATCTTGACTCAAGTCATGGCAAAGGTAGCATCACGACCATCAGTGCCACGTCTGGGAGGGATACCCTCAGATGCTCAGGCCATCGCGCTGCAAGAGCATCATATTATGGAAAAAGATCGCCCCGCCAGCTTTCAGCGCGAGGTTTCAGACTGCGGGTTCGAAGGCATGTGGGCTCCTGCATGGGCATCGTCAAGGTCAGATGCAGGCACGACTGGGGGTGTTGCAGTATTGGCGCGTACGTCGGTTACGGTTACGGCACCGCCATCCGCCACGAGTGCGGTCATCATACCAGGAAGGTTGATGGGCGCTCACATCCACTGGGGTGTTAAAGGTGGGCTGGTTCTATTCTCGTTGTACATGGTCGACTCTGTTGATCGCAACGATGAGAATAGGCGTATTCTTTTTCCACTGGTGCAAGATCTTTCCTTGCTGAATGCAGCGCAGATCGACGATGTTGCACGCGGGGGTTTCAATGTGAAGTTGCCGGGGCTCGCTGATTCAAGCTTAGCGAACATGGAGGTGCTCTTCGCAGTGCCAAGAGCGGCGACCTGTCGCCCAACGCAGGTCGGGAAGAATTCCATCATCGACTATTTCCTCACCGGGTCGAGCCTCGCAAGTCGGGCACGTGAACCGTGGGTGCAGGAGGGCGGCGCCACGGCGCCCCACCTCCCAGGCCGCGTGGAGTTGGCAGCCGACGGCGTTGACGTGAAGGTGAGGGCGCCTGTCATGCCGAAGGGTATAGCGTCGACACCGCCGATTGGCTGCGCCAAAAGTGTGGAAGACTAGGCCCCTGCACTGGCGGCTATCAGACAGGTCTCGGGCATCCAGGACCTTCCGTTAGCATGGGATAAGGTGCTTGCCGCCGTTGAGGACGAGCTGCTGGATCGGCGCGATGTGGTCGGCCCAGGGCGCAAGCTATGTCAAGGTCGAGCTGGAGGGGTCGGGGCGGGGCTGGAGACGGTGAAGTGGGTTCCAAGTGGTCGCCGCACTTGGCTTGGTACCCAGGCGCAGGCGATGAAAGTTGCAGCCAGATGGGCCAAGCATCTCATGGGGCCAGGGCCGAGAGTCAGAGGTCTCTCACTGAGCTGTACTTGTCGGAGCTGGCCTGCCCGCCCTCGCCCATCTCCCACGGGAAGCTGGCGCTGTTTACTCTGGAGGCAAATGCTTTTATCTGGGGAAAATTCAGCGGGAGCGCTCTGTTCTATCGCATTTGGAGCAGTGGGTAAGAGACTTCCTTGGCGGCGGCATCGGGGCCCTCAGCAGGGGCGACTTCGTGGGGGCTGCCAGCAAGATCGCCGAGGGCAGCCAGGCAATTTTCAACAAGGCGGTTTCGTACAAACACAAGGCTTGGGTAAAGTTTGCCAGGGGCAGCTGCCAGCGAGAGGCTAGCCGAGCGCGCAAGATCACCAACGCGCAGGGGTTGCAGGAGGTCCTCTCTTCATGGCAGGATCGTTCAAGTACAGCCTCACCATGGCGTGCGTGTGATCGCGAGATGTCTCCGTGGGCTAAGATATGGACGTGCCATAGTTTACGTCCTCTCGAGTTACCTGGGGACGCTCACTCTTGGCCGCAGCTACCTGACATCACCAGTGATATGGTCAAGACGGCGTTGGCTTCCTTCTCAGTCAGAACAGCGACTGGCCCAGGACGTATCGGGCTACGTGCTCTGCTTATGCTCTCAGACCAAAGTCTGTATACGCTCGCGGCTCTGCTTCAATGTTGGGAGGCTTGATTCACTTGGCCTGACGCCAGGGCATGGCACGATATGGTCAGGCTGCCCAGGCCCAGTGTAGGATGTCGACTCATCACTCCCATGAACAGCGCCATAAGGGTCTGGGCTAGAAGAATCAGAGTTCAAGTTTCCAATGATTGGATTCGAAGGCACCCCGGCGCTGACATCTGGGGGCTGGGCGCAGGGCGTACCTCTACCGACTCAGCCTTCCAGCTCAACCTGGAGACGGAGATCGCGGAGTCTGACACTATTTTCATGCGTTCGCAGCGATGATGGATGCCTACAAGATTTTCGGGGCTATCCAGCCGCAGGCGCTTTTGATGGAGCTCGTGCCTTGGACATGGACCTCAGACTGGTATGGATGCTATTGGAACTATACCGTCAGCCGCGTCGGCTCCGAGCTTTTGGTTCAGTCAGTGAGTCTGTCGTGGCTTACCAGGGGATCCTGGCAGATTGTTCCCATGCTTGTTTCTTGGTCACAGTTCTGCTGCACATGCTGCTGGAGTCTATCAGGGCGCCGACGATCGCACCACGGGTTGTCATCGATGACATCAGCTTTCAGTGGATCGGTGGCAACCTGGACCAGCTGCGCTGTTTCTGGGCCGCGGTCACGCGTTTCAGTGAAGTGGCGAAGGAGCTGAGCATCATCATTCAGTTGGAGAAGTCATGCTACATCCCCTCGTCATCGAAGGTGGCTGTGGACTGTAAGAAGCATGGTGGTGCCAGAGGCTTGGTCTGTCGCAGATGGATCCGCAACCTCGGGCAAGACATGTGGGGCACAAAGAAGTCAAGGAAGCTAACGAGTCAACGTATTGCTGGCATTACAGCGCGGCGGCGGCGGCTCAGCATGCTCCAGAAGGCAGCGGGCAAGAAGGTCATCTGCTTATGGAAGGCGGGGCTACTTCCGAGTGCCGGGCACGGGGCTGGCGTTGCAGGTCTCGGTCAGCACCATCTCAATCAAGCGAGGGCCGAAGCAGGACGTCTTGTCGGATCGAGGCCTGGCTTCTTCCAGTCTCGCCCTCTACCTGGTCACGCAGCGTTCCAAAGACTCCGACCCCATCTACATGGCCACATGCGACCTGGTTTGTCGGTACGCGGCGACAGTATGGGAAAAGCGAGCCCCCCTCAGTCAGCTCCATCACGCGTGGGCAGCCATCACAACTAAGATGGTCGGCTGGGGCAAGACGTCTTGGAGGGAAGCGAGGGGACCTATTGTTTCGGCGATGTTGTCTCTTTGGCGTATTGATTGGTTTATGTACTCGTCTACGGTTCTGGTGAATGACCGTGAGGAGCACTTCAATCTTATGGCGGCCAGTCCGAAAGATTTGCAAGCGCATCTTATCGAGGTGCGAGGACACCAACGGAGAATCTGCACAGTTTGTGGGTCCGAGCTATGAGGCAGCGCATTGGTGCACGAGGTGCTGCGGTCAGCGCAGGGCCGCGCGCTTCAAGTCTATGGGCTCGCTGGGCAGGTGCACCGTGGACGAGGCAGGTCAAGTGCGACTTCCAGACTGTCAAGTCGCCTGCCAGTCTGGCATGTGGGCATGCTAGCGGCGCTCCTGGTCCCAGGTTCTTCGGTTGCGAGCCCGTCTTGGACCCTGAGGACGACGCCGAGGAGGCGGGCAACGTTCCCCTTGGGAAGCTCACCGGCTTCTATGCCTACATGAGGGACGGGTTCGAGCTGGGGGTGTGCCTGCCATGTATGCCGCCGACGCTTCCAAAGGTGCAAGGTGGGCTCCCAGTGCACTTGTGGGGAGACTGGACCACGCCAAAGGAGCTCCTTGAGAATGCTGTCTTCACAGGCGGCTCAGGCCTAGCTCCCTCCATTCGCGAGATCAGGAGGTGTCGCTGGGCCGCGGTGCAGTTTGCGAGGCAGGAAATTCCGATCAGAGCTGTTTTTGGCCCGTTACCTGGGCCGCTGCAGACGGTTGGGAGATCCGAGAGACATGCGGTGCTGATGGCCGCCAAGTCTTGTGGGTCCAACCTGCAATGCGTTTTCGCAGACTTGCTTGCGCTAGAGGCGGAGGCGAATTCCTGGGGCCCTGAGTTGGAGTCAGCTGCGGCGGTCCATGCTGCGATTTGGCGCAGTCTCAGGGCTCAGCCAGTCAGACCCACAGTCATCTGGATTCCTGCGCACAAGGACGTGGACGACTACTTCGACAAAGGTCTCAGCCCGCTGCTCTTCCTGGGCAATATGCGGGCTGACTGGTTCGCTCGACGAGGCGCTGAGGTACATGCGGCGCCGAAGGTCTATGAGGAATGCTACAAGTTCTAATTGAATGTCGCAAAGCGCGCGTCGGCCTACATTGGGCGCGTGATGCAGCGTACCATGCGCGTTGGCAAGTGGGATCCTGAGTGCCAAGACGTGATGCCCAAGCCAGTGGGGGCACTCACCATGCCTGTGCAGGTGACCTCGCATGAGGTTGCGACGTTGTCGGATGGCTCTTTCGTGCGCAGACAATGCGCCAGACGCACAGCAGGCAACTCAAGGGCGTCCTGGAATTTATTTCTCAGAACGCCGTGCCAGCCGTCGCGCCTCGGCGCTCTGGTGGAATTTGGTGACGGCGCAGCTTTTCAGGCTTCCGAGGCGCAGTTTCGCGATGGACGCGCTGGACGCGGCTGTCATTCCAGAGGGCGCCGGTGACGTCGGCGAAGTATTAGTGTCTGACTGGGCAGGGGCTGAAGTCATTCAATGCAATGTGCATCACCTCAGCCGTGCAGGGCCTACGGGTTTCTGCGAGGTCGGCGTTGCCTGGTCAGCGGGAGGTGCATCCAATCAATTACTGGCGGAGTGTTGTGGTATCCCGAGTGGCGAAGGGAAGGGCAACACGTTCCTTTCCAATATTGACTCGAGAAGACGGCGCTTGTTGAAGGGCATGCATCCCAAGGAAAACGTCAAGCTCACACTGCGCGCGGTTCCCCAAGGAGGGTTGGCAAAAGTATCTACAGCGGCGGCCTGATGTGCTTCTATTATGTGCACACGCTGGCCCCGGGAGAGCGACCCGTGCGGGTGTTCTGGCCAGTCGTTGGTGACGACTGCGCTTGCCTCTCCGAAGGCCAGGTTTCTTGCGCGATGGCGGGGGCGGCCCGAGAGGGCGTTCTGGCCAGCTGTCGGCGACGGCTGCGCTTGCCCCCCCGAAGGTCAGGAGCATGAGAGCGACCCGTGAGGGTGTTCTGGCCACCGGTTGGCGACAGGCGCGCTTGCCTCTCATGGCTCCTCTCCCAGCAGAAGCGACCCGTGAGGGTGTTCTGGCCACCCGTTGGTGACAGGTGCGTTTGCTTTCTGCTGGGGTCGGCCCTGGGACATCGGTTTCACGCTGCTGCGCTGCGAGGGCGGTCTGCCCCTGTTGCGTTTGGTTGGTGGGCGCTACTTGGATGGAGTTTGCGCGGCTACCTTCGCTGGCACTGCGTGGCGAGATGGTGGTCGCGCCCACTGGGGAGTGAGAGCTGATGGCCTGTCTGGCCCTTCTGATGGCAGGCCCTACTGTATGATGATGCGATTCGATGGCCCGTCTGGCCCAGCCTGGGGACGGGCCGCAGTGAGAGTCTCAGAGGCGTCCGTGGATGCGCGAGGCTACGGGCGTCGTCCTCGTTTGCGTGCCGACGGTGTTTGATCGTTGGTTTTGGCTTTTTTTGGCTGCGGGTCGTCTGTCACCCTGTGAGGATCGGCAGCCGCTACATATTGCCCGCTGTTGCCCACGGGAGAGCGGGGGCGTCGTCGAAGGCTATGTGGACGGCTTGTCTGGCCTTTCCTCGGCGCCGCCTCTTTCATGACAGCTATGCTCTACGTCCTCATTGTGGGCGTCGGCTTCTCTATTGCCCGCGCGGCTCCCCGCCTGGGAGAGCAGGGGCGTCGCCGCGCACTACGCCGATGGCCCGTCTGACCCCTCCTGGGGGCGGGCCCGCGATGGAGCTGGTGGCGGGCGCCATCTTTCGCCCTCGCCAGAGGCCTCGGCCGTCCCGCCTGCTGTTCGTCTCTACGGACGGCTGCGCCAGGCCTCGTCCCTCGCCCCTGCTCTTCTCCTCGCCGCTCCGTCTTCCAGCTGCCCCCCGCTTCTCCGGGGGCCTCCAGGGGCGCCTTCCGAGGCGTTCGAAGGCCGCCAGTCGGGGGTCCCAAGACGGTGCGGGGTGACAGACCGCGGAGTGCTCCCGCAGTCCCAAACAGACTTTCACTGCACGGTCCGTGACCCCGCACCGGGCTGGGACCTTCGAGGCCGCAGTCGACCGAGACGTTTTCGCAGAACGACCGTGCGGTCATACTGGATATACGCGCCCACCAATTCACCGCAGGGCGTGGCCACCGCGGACCCAGAGCGACCCCCGCCCGACCACGGCGGGGGCGATATAGGCTCGCGTCGAGTGGGCGCTTCGGAGGAGCTCGACTCATCTGGTCGGCCAGAGAGCCCATATGCTCCAGCGTTCCACAGTTCGGGGAACTAGTGCGTGCATGCACCCAGCTCCCTAGCCGACCAGACGACCTGGTGCATCCATGAGGCGTTCCAGAACCAGACGACCTGGTGCACGAATCGAGCCCGTCCCACTGCCGCCACTGGGGATGGGAGTCTGGGGACCGCTCCTGCTCGAGCGCCGTCCTCGCAGGCCCCCGAAGTCTCGCCCCCGCCCCCCCAGGTCCAGGCGCACTCCCCCTGCCAGGGATGCCCGCGGGTGCCGCCGTCGGATGCGGCGTTGTTCCGGTCATCGTGTGTGGCGTCTGGGACCCAGTGGGTCCCGGAAACGGCAGGGCCATTTTTCACGGTTTCCGAACACATGTTTCTTGAAATGGAAGCGGATAAAAATTGGGAACGGTTCTAGGA